AAGTAAAACAAATAAGGGCAGGACTTATACAATTAAAAGAAGAGCCTTGGGTAGTGCAGTAGAACAAAGAGATCTATGGGTTCAGGTATATAAGTCTTTGAATTTTGCATCACATGAGAACAGGGTGATTAAGAAGTTATTTAGCATGCTTGCCTTCATTGCTCAGCCCTTGAGTATAAGAATTAGGATGTCATGTTGAGGTTTACAGGACATCGGTGAAGACACTTCTGGCATATTGCGTCCAGTTCATTTCACCCTATTATAAGAAGGTTATTATTAAGCTGGAGACGGTTCAGAAAAGATTTACCAGGATGTTGTCGGGAACGGACAATTTGAGTTATGAAAGGTTAGATCGGCTGGGACTTTTTTCACTGGAGTGTAGGACATCGAGGGGTTTATATAATCAGGAGTGGTATAGGTAAGGTGAATAGCAGGTGTCTTTTCGCTAGGTTTGGAGATGCAAGGTGAGAGGAGAAAAATTTAAGAGACATGAGTAACAACTAATTTTTTTCCCCAAAAAGAGAGAATAGAATAGCATAGCCTTTATTGCCACATGCACTCACATGAGTACAGGGAAAAGTTTGTAATGGCACTACTTTGGCAGCATCTTAGGTACTGTGCAGATAGGTACGGTGACTAAGTATTTGTTACAGAATTGAAAGAGTAAAAAAAAAATGTTTAGCATAGGAATACAAAGTTTTAAAACATATGTAACTTACTGCAGAATAAGAATAAAAGTATCTTTAAAAAGTACTCAAATTATAGGCCTTTTAATGGTGTCCATGCCCGTCAGGCTTCAGAACACAAGGCCTTACTGCCTCTACGCACTGGCCTCTGGCCAGGACTCGCCTTGGGGATTAGCCTCCAGGGGTCATCTCCCAGACTCAAATTGCTTCCCGCTTCGGGCTTCAGCCTGTGACTCGCCTCTGGGACTCGTCTCCCAGGCCTGCCTGGGCTTGGACTGCCTCCTGCTCCAGCCCACGACTTGCCTCCCATGCAGAATGGTCTCTGACTCATTTCCCATGCCAGACTGGCACTCACCTCTGTTCTCTATTCTCTCTCAGTAAGTTTAAGTAGTTAAAAGTTAAGGGTGTTGGTGGGGGGTTGTGGGGGGGGGGGGGGGGGGGGGGCAGGGGGGGAAAAAAAAAAAAAAAAAAAAAGGGAGCTGAAAAAAGGGGGGGCCCCCGGGGGAACACTTTGACTCGGGCCATTTTTTTGTGAAAGGGGGTC